ACACAGGCCCACAAAGAGTTGCCACTCTTCTCGTGGTATTCCAAGTTCAAGTCTTGCCTACACTGTCATCATTTATATTTGGGAATGTTTTGATTTGACGTCAAGTAGCTCATGCCTAATGGGCACTCACAATTATTGGTACCCTCATCCACAACTTCCTCTTTACAAAAAACCGTCACCAACAAGAATCCCCAGGCATCATAACCAAGCGATTTATTTCATTATAATATATTTGAACTTCTTCTAATCACTTCAATTATTTAACGTCGTCAAAGGTTGAAAATGAGTTCGTGTTGTATAGAGGTGGATTAATTATTTTGACGTAGGCCACCCAATGGAGGATGTGAGACACGCCATGATTAGTAGCACTCATGAATTGGTCCAAATAGTTGTGTGCTGATCCTAATGGAGCTTACTGTAATGTCATTTTGCTTTCAGCTGTTTAAGCGTATGCAAATATAGTTCCTATTGTCACATTTTGCTCCTCTTTGGAAACACACATGAGGGAAGCATTGAATTGTGGGAGAAAGCTAATGATGCCCCCCTCATAAATATATATTCACCAATCATAAATTAACCAACATTGATCAAAATCAATATCATCATGATCAATTACATGTATGGATATAATGAAATAGTTACATGACGACATCGTTATAGATAAGGAGAGAGGGAATACCAGACAAGGTTTCCTGCGGCATTTGCACATATGATAACAATATTCATGTCTTACTAAATTTTACCCTTTTAGGCTCTGTATACAGCAACAAGATATTCTTGAATTTTCGTTTTCTTTCTTTTTTTGATATGCAGTTTTTGTTTTCTTTTTATTGATACCATATGTAGAGCTTTCTTTAATAATGCAAAGATCTTTTAATACAGACAATTTCGTTGTATCAATGTCAATAAAGCCTTAACAACGACAATGAGTGTTATGCGATTTGAAAAACATACAAGCTAAACCAGTTAGACGCATAGGACCATATTTATCCCAATAAGTTGCCATTTTCATTATCATAACAGATGTTACTTCCACTTGTGAAGTTTTGCTTCTTTCATCCTAATTCTTAAAATTGCAACCTTAACTAACTTCTTACTTCGTTTGATCATTATTGGTATGCATCTGCAGCTTTCATCGTTTTCCTCAATTTTGTTTTTGAAAAACAACTTCAATTTCCAAACAAAAAAAAAATGTTTGACAAAATGACTTTTCTCTCTAAAAATAATGACTTCTGAATCACTAAAAAAATAAGCACTTATTTTTAATTACGTAAGAAGAGATGGGGGAGGCTGTGACCTAAGGCAAACAGAGCCAGCCAAATTCTGCAACAAACTCGATCACCCTTATTCCTAAAGAGTAGAAATCCAATGATGTAGCACATATTTGAAGGTAAAGTGAAGCCCATTAAAGAATATCAATGGGCCTTGTTAATTTCAATATTACTATATTTTTAGAGACACCATCACTTTAAATTAGCATTTTTCCTTTCACTAAATCCATTTTTTTTACACAGTAGCTGAGTAGGGATCTTAAAACTAATTTCTAGACTAAGAGCAATACGGTTACCAGAATATGGCAACAGCTTACAGCATTCATTCTGTCAGCTATCAAGCATTTCATTTTGTGTGTGTCTATTGTATAGTGAAACCTAAATTATTACTACACGTATGGACAAGTTTTCACTATCGCGTGGTGCATATTCGTGTTTAACATGAAAAATAATTGACATACATTACTTTTTTTTTTAATCTCATTTTTATCCCATTTTCTTTCTTATGTCTCTTTAATTTCTATCACATTTTTTTTCTCCATCTTCTTTTATTTTTCTATTTATCTCCTTTCTTTTCACCTATACACCCTTTTTTTGGGATGTATGAATATTATAAGAGTAAGTATTGATATTCATTCACCATTTTTTTTAATGGATTGAGGAGAAAATAGAATAAAGATAGAGAAAAGAAAAGAAAAAGGAAGAGAGATAAAATAATAGAAATGATAGATGATGTGATGAAAAAGGAAGAAAGAAATAAAAACAACATAAAATAGAAGATAAAGTGAATACATAATGAGTATTATTGGAGAAAGAATATCTCTATTTCTTTTATTCCTTAATTAATCTTTTGAGAAAATAAATAAATGAAGAAGATCCATACTTTGTAAAGAGTGAAAATTATTTTCTCAAATTTTTAGTAATGAAAGAAATAAAAAAAATGGAAAGAATCTTTTCTCATATTATTGATATTGTAACTCCTTGAACATCTGCTGTAAACCGAAAGATGAATCAGAGAAATTTAGTGGTTTTAATTTTGCTACGAAGGATAATTTAGTCGCTAACAATATTGAATATTTTTTTATAGAAATAACCTGTGCATGATTTAGACCATGAAGATTATAGATGAACAATATTTTTGGTGAACGAGTACATCAAGGTCTACCCTAAAAGGCATATGGTGCGCTACACTATGCAATTGGAGGACGCATTTTCTATGTAAAAAAGCATAGAAGCTCAAGTCAAACAACAATGGAAGCGTTGTCATCATCTTTTTATCTTCTTCTTTTTTCATGCATTTGCAAATTGCTACATAATAACATAATTAACATTAAAATATTTTTCAATAAATATTTTATCTCCATATATGTTGTTGCTTTAAAGAAAGCAAGGCAAACAAATTGTCCACATACACTTGGCAATTAATATTATATTTGCTTAAGATGAAGAATAGGAAACGATGGACTCAAGCTCACCTATTCCACATTATTGCATAAAGATTCCTCTATATTTTCTTTTCTTTCTGCTTTGGTCGGAAAACTACAAGAATTAAAAGATTGTTTCTATTTTATAATTCTCCCCACACTTTACCAATAACTTTTCTGAGGGAATATATAAGTACCACGACGCAATTTGGTTTGTCACTTAGTCCCCCGTATCAATGTCATTATCAATATACTGCATAGTGATTTATTTTATTGGAAAATGTTAACAATAATGTAAAACTATTTTAAGTTAAATCTTAATAATAATGTGTAAAACTATTTTAAGTTAGTTATTCTAAAAGTTAATAAAAATATCTTTCAGGATGTGTTGTGATTTGATTATCATGTAATTATTTTATATTTGATAGTGTATAACTATTTTTCTCTTACATTATGTTTGATAAGACAAAAATAGAAAGAAAATAAGAGAGAAAGGAAAGAAGTGTGGGGACATGATAAATGATCAGATGTGAAAATAAGATGGAAAGAAAAGAAGTGTGTGAAAATAAAATATAATAAAATATTTAATAAATAAGAAATAGAATAAAATTCATAATAATTAAAGTAGTGCTATCAAAATATATATATAAACTTCCTCTCAAAAAGTGCATCAAAATCGCACAGAAAATATGGGGAGCGTGAAGTTTCGAAAGGGAAGTTATGTTTTTGCATCTTTTACTATTGTGAAGAATTAATAAGCGTGGACGTGATTTATGTAAAAAAAAAAAATTAGTCTTCTCTTTGTTTTAGTTTTCAATTATTATTTTTTCTTTCATAGTTTTAATTTTAAGATTTTTGTAAAAAAAATTCAGATTTAATTATTATTTTATGTTAAAGATATTAATTTATTATTTGGTTGTATTTGGGAGTGTTTTATTATTTTTTTTATGCAGACTTAATTTATCTATAATAAAAAAAAGCAACAACATAATAAAGATAAAGAGTATAATTTAATTTATAATACCAAATTAATTTTTTATTTAATCTAATATAAATCAATTAAAAAAATTTCTTTCTATTTTTTTAAAATTCTTATTAAACAATTCTAACTCTCACTTTATTTCTTACTTAATTAATTACTTTATTTTTCCTTCCACTTCTCTTCTCTTCTCTTCTCTTTCAATTTCTTCCCACTATTAAGAAGACATGTGCAGTAAAAATAAGATGACGTGATTAAAACAAAATAGAAAGAATATTTAATGTGCTAAAAAAATTGTTAAGTAAATAATATAATTCTACCGTTTTAATTATGGAACTAATAAATTTATTTAGATTATTTTTTCTGTCAATATGTAAATTCCCCATATGATTCGATGTTTCCTGTCTTGATCATATTTGTCAATTTGTGAATTCGTCTTTAGAACGTCGCACACCGAGAAGAAAAAATATATATAACCGCACGGCTCTATATTCTCAAATACAAAAGGGGTAAAAAATAGATATAAAAGAAATTATTGTTCTTCTATATAAAAAAAATTGTTATATTAAAGGAATAAAAATGAGAAGGGAAAAAAAAAAAAAATCACCGCCAGAGTCAGCTTTTGTGTTTGTACTATCTGCACTGCTATACAAGTGTAGTATAGTTCACAAGTACCCATATACGAACCATTGTGTTTAGTGCTTATCATGATTTGGAGACACACTGGACATACATTAAACTGAGAATAGCGTCACCCTTACCCCCACTCCTTGAATGCCTGAAAAGAATATCAATCAATAAAAAGGTCATTCTAGACCTCACGACAAGTAAAGCAGTCTACTAAGAGCAAATTACATTTCGTCCCCAAAATGATAATATCACATTTAAAATCATAAGTAAATAAATAAATAAAATACATGGAATGAGTAAAGCAAAAAGTAAAATAAACGTTTGAGTAATTAAACAACATGAGTGGTGAATTGTAGAACGTAATAAAACGGATCCGGATGCAGGGAAATGTTAGTTTGGTATGAAAGGTGAAAGAATAAAACCAGGGGCAGGGACATGCAAGAGTTGAAAACAGGTAGCTGTTTGAGAATTTCCAGGGGCTGTGTTTGATACATCCCTGAAATTGAGAATGTTGTGAACAGAAGAACACAAAAACAAAAACAAAAAAAAGAATAAAAAACGGAAATTAGGCGAGTGGCACGAGGTGGAACAGTTTAGCCATTCACAGCTTCTTCTCGCCGCATCAGACACATCACACATACAACAACACGTTACCTTCGCCTATGAATTTTTCTTAAATCCGGAAGAAAACTAAAATTGTGAAACATCCAATCCAATCCATAATCCATAATCCATAATCCATAATCCATAATCCATTCCACCTCAACGAATTTACATTCCCGAAATAATGTACAGACGAGAAAGAAAAGAAAAATAAAAGTAAAAAAGGATCTAAATTAAAGGAATTAATCCCCATATGAGTTGAAGATGGTGTGAGGAGTGAGGAGGTAGAAAAAAGAAAAGGGCGTTGGGTTGGGTTCAAGGGTTGTGATGGGAGGAGCCCTGTTTGGGCGGAATTTGGAGCGATGTGGGGTTGTCTTGGCAGGTGCAGGGGGTGGTGTTGTCGGCGAAGGAGGAGGTTCTGCTAGTGGTGGAGCTGGAAGAGACGCTTGGGGTGGCTAAGAATGTGGGTTTCTCTTGTCCAGCCATGATGACCAAGATCTTGTCCTCGTACACTCTCTGAGGTTTCTGCTCCTGGTCTGTCTTCCCTTGGCCAGCTTCCAGGTCCCTCTCCGATTCCCCGTTCCCCTCCAGGTACCCAGACAGCTTCCAATAGGAACATGCAAGGATTAACAGAGCAAAGGCTATGAGACCCAACATGGCCGCTAATCCCCCGAAGAGATAGGGAACCGGAGAATGCCACGGCGAGTGGGGTGCCTGCGGTGACACCGGGGCTCTCTCGCTCATGCTCATGCTCATGTTCATCGGTTCTCTGTATGCTGCCATCTTTCTTTCTTCTTTCTATCCAACACAGCAGGAAGAAGGACCAAAATTATTGAGATTGCCTTCACACTCCACACTTGAGACTTGAGAGGTGCGTGCTGGGGTGGAAATCTATTTATAGACAGCTTTTCATTATGGGGGAGAGAGAGAGAGGGGATTAGTATCGCTATTCACTACCAACAAACAGTGGCCCATTCCCTATTTCCCTTTGCCTTCCTCACTCTCTCGGGCTCGGCTATGCGTTTTCTTACTTTCTCTTTTTTATTTTATTTTACACAACTAAACTTATGTATTGCGTCTTTAACAACACTTTTATACTATTTTACATGCTAAATTTATTAGTTCTTATAATAATTATGTTTAATTGTTAATCATATCCATGATGATTCTTTTTTTAATAATATACCATTATTAAATTCTCCATTTATTATATTCTTTTTTTGGTAGAGGATTGGATTACCATCGCAATTCGCAAGGAATGCGCACTCGGGGGTCTACTCGTCATGTCAATTTCAAAACAGGGGAATAGGATCCTCTTGAATGTTTCGCAACGAACAAACACTAAATTAATAATAACAAAATAAATGAAATACCGCTGGATGTATATTCTATCGTTATAAAAAGTTAGATAAAATAGATGTAATAACGAAGACAGATACAAAATTTATAAATAAAAAAAAATACGGTGTAAAAGGCTGCAAGAATAATACTCCTACACTGTATAAGATTATTTTTAGATCAATATTTGGCACAGTAACAAATTCCTTCTTCTATTCGAATTTATGTATTCTAGAGAAAATTATATATTAAAGAACTTGTACTCGATGTGTGACCTCATTCTCATTCTAATTCTAAATAACGTACAAATGCATGCATGATTCATGAGATTGGATTAATTATTGTAATCTGCTAAAGTTTATGTGTGATATTTAGATAAATAAAAAAGCAAAAATGCCCCCGAATTAGTCTGTAGAATTTGGATCTTTCTTTCGTTTCAGTCGCATATAGAATTGTAAATTCTATCCGGTTATAGAGATTCCGACTTGGGAACCTTGTGATTTGCTCCTTGGCAATTAAGAATTTAAGGTGGAATAATAATAATATCTAAAAAGGGATTCCCCTACTAGATTGCTTGGGATTAGGATGTTTTATTTTATCTATGCAGCAGTATTTTATAATAATTCTAATTGAACCATTTAAATAGGATTCAGCCTGGGGTGCCGTACCCCTTAGGATGATATGTATTATTTTCTGAAAAAAGGAATGCAACATAGGACCATCTGACATAATAGAGTTTAAGATTGGGGTGGGGCCCATTAAGGTAAGGTGGTTCAGTGGTTGTGTAGAGCTAGAGCCCCTGATGAAGATGAGGTAAAGCACAAATCATACGCACTCTACTCTACACTACTGAGTACAGTGGGAGGGGATTCTGTTCCAGCCGTTGGATTAAAGAAGAAAAAGATTCACTGTACTTAAGAAATATCCGTCCTCAAACGGCTGCGCGTACATGCCGTGACGGGAGCGTCCACGCTGTACTCGTTTCTCACGGAATCATTCGTTCCCCGTTTATTCTATTTCGTAGATTTGTGTGAGAATATATTAGTGCATCGCTAATAAATGAAGTGGGTAGAAAGAAGCTGGAAACGGTTTCAATTTTTCAAAAAGCTGCTGACTTAAAAACAAAGCTCAATATAAAAAGTGGATTAAGTTAACAATACTTCAATTTTTTTTTAATTATACGGTGTTATCGATCATTAATTTCTATAAAAAAAATTCATCCATGATTTTTATTCAATTTTTTTCTCTAATTATATATTTTTATATATAAAATTTGAGTTAATATCAAATGAATCGATGACTTGTCCGTATATTTATCCTCTTTGAAACTTTAAAAAGTAAATTTATATTATTTATTGTATCATTTAATCTACTTTATTTTATTAGTAAATTTAAATTCTTTATTGTATCATTTAATCTATCTTTTTTATTTATTAGTACTTTTAATGTGTATGTGTGAAAAATAATAGAAAGAAAATGACATTTTCATAACTATCGTGCAAGAAGCTAAAGGCATATTAGATATCTTTATATCAAACACTATTAATCATTTAGTAGTTAACTGAAATTCAACAATACTTAACTTAATTTAAAACTTTACTTATCAAAATGAATATGAGTAGAGTTTTACAAAAAGAATTTCCTCTAAACATTATATTTGATTGCCTCAAAATTAGAAAGAAAATAAAATAAAGAAAACGAGAGAAAGGAATTGCCTTTAACCATTTAATTGTCATATAAATAAAGAAAAATATTATTTTGGTGGTTTCGCTTCAAAATTTGTTTCCTTCCTATTAAAGTAGAAAAAGAGAAAAATATGTTAATTTAGTTGAAAAGACATAAATGCCATTGAATGATAAAATATTTTTTAATTTATATGGTAATTTATTTTATCATAGGTGGTAAAATACTTTTTAAATCATTATTTTGGTGGTTTCGTTTCAAAGTTTGTTTCCTTCCTATTAGAGAAGAAAAGGATAAAAATATGTGAATTCGGGTGAAAAGACATAAATGCCATTGAATGATAAAATATTTTTTAATTTATATGGTAATTTATTTTATCATAGGTGGTAAAATACTTTTTAAATCATTATTTTGGTGGTTTCGTTTCAAAGTTTGTTTCCTTCCTATTAGAGAAGAAAAGGATAAAAATATGTGAATTCGGGTGAAAAGACATAAATGCCATTGAATGATAAAATATTTTTTAATTTATATGGTAATTTATTTTATCATAGGTGGTAAAATACTTTTTAAATCATTATTAATCTTTTTAATTTATCATGTGTTCTCGTTAGTTTATTGTTATTATTATTAGCATAATTTATATATATTTTTATTACATTTCATTTTTGTTTATGGAGAATTATGTCACCTTAAATTTAAGGATTTTTTTCATAAATTTTATTGAATAAATACTCAATTTAGTCCCTAAAAGATGATAAAAGTAGTCGTTAGGCCTTTGAAATTTTTTTTTTGTGACATTTAGGTCCCAAAATTTTAACTTTATTGAGAGTTGTTACGGTACCTTCAAAGATAGAGGGGTTTTAATACATTTTTTTTATATAAACTCATAAAAGATTTAAAAAAAATTAATTTAATTATAAAATGAATAATCTAAATTATACTTATAAAATAAAAAGTAAGATAAAATTATAGAGATTAAAATTATAAGATTTCAATAATATTATAAAATATTAGAAAAAAATTAATAAATAGTAGATATAAAAAATTATTAAAATTACAATATAGAAATTCAAAAATTTAAGACAAAAAGATAAAAAATATACTTAAAAAATTATTAAAATTAAAATATAGAAATTCAAAAAATTTAAGTGAAAAAATAAAAATATACTTAAAAAATTATTAAAATTAAACTATTTAAATATATAATAATATTATTACAAATAAATTAGAATATATAAAATAAAAATAAAATGACTAAATAATTTAAAAATTGAAAGAATAAAATATCATAAATATTATTTAAATAAATTATTAAAAATATAAAATATAAAAAATTGTACCGGTACCCTCTCAAACAAGATGGGTACCATAGAATTTCTCTAGGAATTATAGTTATTACGCACTACTTTCTTTGTCATTACTTTAGATTTTTTTGAGATTGACAAACTTGTTATGATTCTTTTGGCCTCGAAGGTAATATGTGTTCCTTAATGTTAAAAAATTAAACCAAATAGATTTACTAAAATTTATGGCTAATAATCATTTATACTTGTAGCTCTAACTTGAGTTTATTCAAGAAATAAATATACAAATACAGAGTCAGAGAATATCTTCATAATCTTTTTCATGCTTAATTAAATTTAATTTACTTGTCACAATTCACAATAAAACTCTCTAAAAAAAAGTCACAATAAAACTTTTTTTAATCAATAAAAAAGTTGTCTTTAACGTGGAATATAGCATGACAAATAAAGTTTGTTTCACAACGTGCGTTAAATTCAAGGTTTATATATATATATATA